TACATTTTGATATATTTACGGTAGGGAATTTACAAAATATCTTCATGGAACATGATCTTTACTTAATATCATAATATCATAATATATATATATATATATATATTTATTTTTTTTTTTTATTAAATTTTTTTTTGCATAAAAGAAACATTAATAATTTTGACCCATACAATGTATTTTTGGCTTTTGCTACAAATAGACTAATCACCTTATAGGCTACTTCATTTACTCCATTTTCTTACTCAATAGCTCTCAAATGTAACCCGTTGAAGAATCGCTGCTGTCTCTTTATGACTGAATGGAATAATCATGCCAGACAATGCGGAGTGATAAATAGCAGTGGACGTTCGGACTAGGGTTGTCCTGGGATTTTACTACAGTGCTACAGGCTACATGCTGTGTATAGTTAGAGAGGCGGGAAAAAGGTAACCTGATGTAACTGTTCACTTTTTTTTCCCTTTTAGCTTCTCCCAACTGCCTTTATCTTCACGTATTTTGCTTGCCATCACAAGCCCACTCTCCTTCGCGTCAGTTTTGGCTTTTTATAAGCAAAATTAGATCGCATTAGCACCCCCGTTTGTCGGCCGTCAACATCACTTAATCTGACACTTTCTATTTGAAGATGAACCAAACAGAATTCTGGACTTCTCCAGAACATCCAGATGGCCAGTCCGCCCCTGGCCCCATCTGATACTGGCTAAACATATTTGCAGCATTGTGCAATGTAGCAGACATATCTGTTGATTTCTTGAACACAATAACCAGAAGTGTTTAAGTTAGAATCCACTGGCCACTCAAAATGCAGAGTTTTTGTGAAGTGCTGAGTTCTGCAAGCTCGGGAATCTTCTCATTACAACAAAGTGTAGATACGATGTAATTAGAGGATCCATTGTGCAGTGTAGAGAGCTTATTAACGGAACATTGTGAGATTGTAATGAACTGAAGTGAGCAACAGCTTTTAGTGATTACATGAGGGAGCGCTCTTTACGTGCATTCTAAGGCTGTATAATACTCTGACTGTCTCAGAACAGAGATATTCACCTCAGTAAAGAAAGTATTGTGTTTCAAGTCAGTGAACGAGTGAGCAGGATGATTTTCACATCATTTTGAAGTAAATATTCTAGCCTACAAGACTGATTACTCAAAAGTCTTATTCAGAACTATTCAGTATGGGTTTTATGGCCTGATTTCAGCTACATTTTCCCCCAAAACTTACTAACCACGCATAATCTTTGTTCTTTTTTTCAAAAAAATGCAAAAATGTACATCCATCTTGCTTACATATTATTGTAGCACAGTTACTGCTGTTTTTTACAGAGTGTAAACAGAATCTATGGTTATTTACATTTAAAGTAAATAGCATATGTCGCTAAGAAAATGTTATTTTCACTTAGTGTAAGCAGCATCTATTGCTATTTACACTAAATGCAAATAACTACTGCCTTTGAAATAAATCAACATCAGAAGAGAAGAGTCTTTGAGCAACCGAGTACTTTTTGGGTTCTGATTGAATCTGTGTTTTGAATGAATCAGCTGAGCAAATTATTTGAATACATTCATAAAATCCCTTGCTTCATTCCTTAATGAATAAGTCCTTTTGAATGAATCAAATAAAATTTGAATGATTCCATGACTCATTCAGTAAGACAGTGATTTGCTGCCAGCTACTGGTGGTTTTAGTTTCATATTTAAAGCAATTTATTTTCCCACCATAATTTCATATTTCAATGTTTAAAATGGTATATTTAAAACACTAATCTCAAAATTATCTCAATATTATTAATGCATTTATAATTGCTTTAAACCACCCATTTTTATTTAGTGGTTAACATAAAAGCAAGACACCAAAGTGTAGGCCCCTCACCTTAAGTATTCCAAAGTATTTAGATTGTTACTAAACTTGAGTAATCTAACAAAATACGGTAAAAAAAATGTTTAAAGCATGCATTTTGTAATCTGAAGTGAAATACATTTAAAAGTAACCTTCCCAAGCGTATTTCACTTTAAAGTGTTCTCATATCCACAATGCTTAGTCGCTGTATCCTGTCAGAAACTACATACAGTAGACCGTTTGCTGCTGCTGTATAGACAAATCTGTGTAATCACTGCTGTTTATATGCTTAGTAATTACCTCTTGCATTGAATTACATTGAACTGTCCTTTCCTTCCTTTTTATAGTAGCTAATTGAGGAATTAATAAGGCAGACTACACAATAATGCACTGTGGTATGGCGTAAAAGAACGTTTACTGATCTAAGATATAGAATTTCAGAAGGATGCATGTTGCATACTGCACATTACAATGTTTCTCTCATCTGACACAACCATTTCAGATCTTAAAGTTTCTAATAAGCTGATAAGTTAAATAAGTTGTGTTTGATTAGGGAAACTCACAAAATGTGAGGATTTGGGGGTATTCCAGGGATTCCCTAAAAGTAGCTGAAGGGGCCTATAAACTCCAGTTTTTAGCGGAGAATAGGGCTGCAATTTAACGATTAATCAACTAATTGCCGATTGTTTCACTGATTAATCACCAGAGGTGGAAAGTAACTTATTGAAATACTTTCGTTACAGTACTTGAGTACATTTTTACATTTTTCTACTTTCTGGAGTATAATTAAATTGTTTTTAACTTGTTTTTAGTTAAATTATTTTTCACCAAAAGTACAAAGTACAAAAAAAAAAAAAGACAAAAGGCGGCACAGATGGAGAAACCGAGCGAGAAATGGGCACTTTTCAAATAGCTGGGGTGGAGCCCTGCGCTTCAGGCAATAACAGACAGGTCTGACTCGGGTGAAAACTTCCAGTTCAGCTGGTGGTGGTGGGGGCGGGGCATTCAAACTGCGCTTTGCTTTGACAGTCAATCGGCGTTGGTATATTGAATCAACATGGTTAGTGTTTCAATATTATAGTATGAGGTATGCTCTGATTTTAAATTTTAAATTTGTCAGCTCCTGAAATGTGTCATACCATTGATATTACTAGAGCACTCAACAGTTTAAGTAAATAGAGACTCGGTTGATAGAAGGACACAGCTAATGCATGGATGGAGCAAGAACAACGTAAGTGTCTAAATGCATGCACACAGTTCAGTTGAATAGTAAAGTTCGCCCTCTTTAACAGTGCTGTTACTAAATATACAAAGTTTCATAAGCCGCCGAAATTGTATAAAATTCTATACTGTGATACAGGCTATATTGATTGTGTTTATTGTCTTCATTAGTGCTGTCAAACGACCCGGTACATCGGTACCAAGTCGGTACTAAAAAAAATGTAAACGTTACGGTACCAGGTTTTTTTAAGTACCGGTGGTACCGAGTACCCGGTCAACCCGGTTCTTGATGCGCTATCCGAAAGGTGCGCAGATGCGCTCTCTTCATAAAAGCACTGAGACGTGGCAACATCAAACCGAGGAAACACACCAAACTAACAAACACTTTAAAGACACCCAGATCAAATGAAAGAGTTCAAGCAGGTAAGTTTAATTTAAATTTTTAATAACAGTGTTTCCCATACATTGATTTATTTGTGGCTGCCCGCCACAATATCAAAACTGACCGCCACAAATAGATTTTCCAAAAGGCTTTGACTTCGTTGAATAAACATGAGCACTGCACGTGTCAAAGTCAAACCCGGTGCGGGTGTTTTTATATCACTGTATTTCTGAAGGAAACCGACTGTCTTTAGAAAATTATGGATGTCATTTTCATTTCATCTTGTCTGTAATGCCTGAGCAGCATTTGTGAGCGGAGCGCTGCTTTGTGTATAGCCATTACTGGGGAAACCGCTATCTCTCCCGCTTTACAAGCGCCTCCTGCTAGCAGAGAATGAATTTGCATATAGGCCTATATGCCGCCACAAATAGAGTGCAAGTCTGGGGGAAACACCGCTTCTGTTATGAATATTATTCAATATTTTAATTTGAATGTCGGATTGAAATGAACACTGTTATTAGAGTAGTTAATCGTTGGCATTAGAATAATAATAATGAGCATTAGAATGAAGTTTCTTTATTAACTATTTAATGCTCCTATAACTTTTATTAAGGTAAAAAAAAACAGGAGGACATGATGATATTTATTATTTTTACACACCAGAGGCTTTTAAATTAATTGTGAATCTAAAATATGCGTGTTAGAGAATGTACAAATGGTTAACATTGTTTGTGTCATATCAGTCAGAAAAGCAGGTCTGGGCTTTTTTTTTAGCTAGCTTAGTTAAAAAAAACAGGAGGACATGATGATATTTACTATTTTTACACACCAGAGGCTTTTAAATGAATTCTAAAATATCTAAAATATGCTTGTTAGAGAATGTACAAATGGTTAACATTGTTTGTGTCATATCAGTCAGAAAAGCAGTTCTGGGCTTTTTTTTTTTTTTTTTTAGCTAACTTAGTTGTTATTCTTGGCTGAATAACTCTACGTTTTCAAAAGTTTAAAAAAAAATATGTACACAGTTTGGATTAAATGAAAGTATAGTCAAATTTTTTAATTAGCATGTTTTTGTGTTTTGCTTTGGTACCGAAATTGTTACCGAGAACCGTGAATTTTCACTGGTATTGGTACCAAATACTGAACTTTTGGTACCGTGACAACACTAGTCTTCATGCTTCATCAGTCAAAATGTGTCAATCTGCATGTTATTCAACTGTAGTAATATCAGATGCATTTGTCCATATAAGGGATTTCCTGGAATGTGATAAGTTTAATACTTCTATGAGTCTCACTTGTGAAACAGACTTTAAATGAGAGTGTTTAATGTTACATAATGCTCACACCGCCTCATTATTGGGTAAAAAATAATAATAATAATACTTAAGTACTTTGTAACACAGTAACTTTAGTTTTTCAGCAAACTACTTTTTTACTCTTACTTGGGTCACATTATTTTTCAATACTTTTACTTGTACTCAAGTAAATTATTCCTTAAGTAGCAATACTTTTACATAAGTAAATTTTTTTTGTACTCTTTCCACCACTGTTAATCACTAGACTTTGATTATTCAGCTTTTGCAATTAGTTAAAATATTGAGCTATATATATTTTTACAAATAAATAAAGGTAATCACTTCAGCTTTTGAAAATCATATTATGTAATTACAATTAATTTATACAACTAAATATATTTGTCACACAAAATGAGATGACGGACAGAGAAACTCTCTTATTCACCATTTACTTAGCTATATGTAACCGAATGACACATCATTCTGCCTAAGATCTCCTTTTGTAAGTCATATGGATAAGAAACAAAATAAAGGTAAGTGATAAGACCTCTGCAAACCGAACTATCACTTTAATTAAATAATTTCCCCCACTTTTTATTGTATCATTAGCCCCCCCAAAAAGCATGTATTAAAGCAGGCGGTAATTTGCGCTGCTCTTGGTAGATTGCGCTGGTCATTATGGAAATTATGTGGGTGTGTCGGTGTTCTTAAATGTGCGCATTGTCAGTAAATCACACGCAGAATTTTCCCCTCCCATCGGCGCTTTTATGGAATTGTACTCTAATGCTAATGGGCCCTGTTTAGTAAATCTGGCTCTAATTAAATAAACATGACGTGAATGGACTTTACTGGAGTATCAAACTGCAGAGCTGGTGAAAACATGCACATTGCTGTAATGAGGGGTGTATTCCAGAAAGCAAGGTTAACTTACCATCTGCTAAACCCTGAACTCTCGGTTGATTAACCCAAACCTTGCTTATTTGAGGTATGCTGGTTCCAAAAATACGCCCGGGAGTAAGTTCATTCAACCCAGAGTAAGTTCCTGGTTAACACGCAAGATATTCTCAACAGAGCAATGAATCGACGAGTCACTATGGAAACGGACGCTAAGAAAAAACGTGCTATACTACTCCTTTCTTCTTCTGTTCAAAGGACATTTGCATACTTGGTTCATATCGCCACCTAACTGGTGGTTGTGCAATCATAGTTCTTTTTTCCGTTTAATCTTTAATCCTTGAGAATAAGAATTATATTGTTTGTTTGATGCTAATAATATAATAAAATCATATCAGATATGTATTTTTATTATAGAAATAAATGATAGAAAATGCTGATCCATGATGTGTGAGATGATAATATAAAATTAAATAAATATATGATATAATAAATTAAACATTACCTTGTCATAATACTGTTTTAAAATGTATACAGATAACTATTATATATGCCAATAAAAATAAATGTAATATAAATATAGTAGTATATAGTACATTAATATAGTAACCACATTAGAATAATATATTACCTTATATATTACTTAGATTAGTGCTTTATAATTAACACATCATACAACCATATATACAGTGGGTACGGAAAGTATTCAGACCCCCTTAAATTTTTCACTCTTTGTTATATTGCAGCCATTTGCTAAAATCATTTAAGTTAATTTTTTTTCCTCATTAATGTACACACAGCACCCCATATTGCTATGGCTACTTACTCTGAAAGTTACCTCCGTTTATAGAACTGAAAGCTGAGTTTATCCTCTTACTTACCTTAAACATTCCCAGGTATGTCACATAACCTGCTTTCTGGAATACCCCCCAGATGTGTTTTTAACTGCTGCTTTCACACCGCTGTCAGTTTTTGTTATGTTTATTATGTTAACATGTTTAACAAATTGAGCAATTATTTTTATGCAATTAATTACAATCTAATAAGTATAATCTCTCTCACACACACACACACACACTATTATTAAAATATAAATCAATATGAATCACGAACCTCAGAATGTTGAGTTGACAGTTAGGACTCTTCAGTCCAGCAGCGAGCAGCTTTACTCCTGAATCCTGCAGATGATTGTTACTCAGGTCCAGCTCTCTCAGGTGTGAGAGGTTTGAACTCAGAGCTGATGCCAGATCAGCACAACCTTCCTCTTTCACCAAACAGCCAGATAATCTACAACAACAATAATAATGTTAGTGTGCTTAATTTTAGAGATGCTTTAGATCTTATTTCTTGCATTTGGAAACAGCAGTAGGAATGTGGTGTGTGTGCACCTACTTAACCTTATTTTGGGGACAAATATATACCCAGAAGTGAGTTAAAATTGAAATAAAAGCAAGATAAAAAAAACAAAACAATTGACAGCATGTATATATATATATATATATATATACACATACATACATACATACACACACACACACACACACACACACACACACACACGTTTACTCAAATTAATTTGACAATAAATTAACTGGCTTGAGATTTCTGTTAACAGTGTGATTTTCTGAAGATTCTGATGATTTCATATGTTGCTAGCATGATTTGATAAAATGCTTATAGAATGATATAGCCCTTTGCTATGTTTTAATGTGTTTCTAGCGTTACATAACACATCGTTGCTAACATGTTTTAACAAATTGCTAGCATGAGTTAACACAATGCTAACATGTTTCTAGCATGTTGCTAGATAGCCAACAGGGCTTAGAGAACAGTCATTTTGTGAAAAAAAAGTATATATACACAGTGTATA